TTAACTTGGCAAATAAGGAGAAAATAATTGAAATAAATAAAAATATCATAAGTAGCCTAATATGATTTGCACTCCTTGAACAGAGTCTAATGTTTTAGTGCATTGTCTTATAACTTTTTGTAGTAGTAGTGTTGTTAGTGTTTGATTGTCCTAATGCAAAGCTTTGGATTGTAGCTTAAATGTTTAATTAAGTTAAAGTCGAGGGATGCACTCTGAGTGAGCTCCTGACTATGTGGCCGAATTTCAGGACCATAAACCCAGTTACAAGACTGAACCTGCTACCACAGTATCGCGGGACAACAGATACCAAGCCTGAAATTATTGTTCCCCAGGAACCTTGTGTGCTATGTTACGGCCTACTCGTGGAAGGCCTTGTGAGAGGAGACCTTCCTCTGCGTGCAGCATTAATCCTATAGGGATGTTGGTACCAGTCGTTATTTTATTAATTATGTTTTTATGAGCGTTTTATTTTTTATTGGCTGTAGTTCACTCAGAAAACCGGCTCACTACCAACATAGTGTTTATGACTAGTCTATGTTCAGAGCCAGCACATTTTTCTTATTTATTGAAACACCACTGAAACACATGTACGATGCGTTGTTAAAAATGTTTAATTTGATATAGGTATCCAGGAACTTTTAACATGTAATATATAAACACTAGATATATAATAGCAAAAAGTGAATATAAATATTGGCTGTAAATGTCAATACAATTTTCAAAAATTCTAAATCTCTTAAGAAATCCAGAAAACAACCAATAAACAGTTTCTTAGTCTTATAGATCAAGCATACATAAAAGTCCAAATAACAGAAAAGTGAGGGATTACTGCAAGCACTAAAAAAGTTCTTATATCATATATAGTCTGTGAACATATATCATAAATAACCTCTTACCTGCTTGGATATACAATACAGGATCAGATAAGGTCCTTGTGAATTTAATCTACTTTCATATAAGAAAGAAAATAGATAAAATCGAAATCTAGGCGTGTTAGTATCATAGACTAGCAGCCTAATTCACAGTCTCCAATAAAAGGTCTGGGCTAACCACCAAAAAATAGCAACTGTAGCGAATAAAATTAAATAAAAAGTTTCGTACTGATGCTCAATTGGTACTTTAGAGTACGTCCCTATAGATTAGAGATGACTTGTAGAAGGTGATTATGAAAAAAGAGTCACTTTATTCACACTTTAAAAAACAAATAATTCCAATAAAAAAAAAAATCGCAAAATACTGGGTAAATAATAGACCACTAATATAATCCGAAGTAAGAGAAGGTGAAAAGGCAATATGACCTGAACCACTAGTCCGGATGGCGGAGGATGGTGATAATCCACTTCCTAGTCAGTAATGCAGCAGCCGGTGAGGATGGCGTCCGCGTTCTTTGGCACTTCACCTCCTACCTCACATTGAGAGGTGAGCCTCCAGAATGATGTCAGGGACCGGATAGGATCGTCTGCAGGTCACTGAGTCTTACTTTCTCCAACTCCTCTCTTCGTGTTGATTTCTCAGCCTTACGCGTTTCGTAGGGTACTGCCCTACTTCATCAGAGGCATATCGTGATCTTAGTCCATATTGATGTATATATATGCAGTATCCTACAAGTTACCAATTAACTATAATTAAATATCATATCGGAACTTAAAATGAGCAAATGTAATACAAATTCTTAAAACTGTTATTATAACAATAAATGAAAAATGAGAATGGACGTGTATAATAACTGCATAAAGAATACATATAGAAAATGTATAAAGAATAAATGAAGAATAAAAATACATTGTTGATATCTTCTCATGTGCATTCCATTCATATTGTAATAGTAGTTAAACCACTAAACATCTCTATATGTAAACGAGATAAAAAAAAATAAATGTTTAATTTGATATTGCTCTATATGTCTACATAGTATAGTGTGCATTCCAATCAGGTCATACCGCTGCATTAGACTTTTGTACCTAAACTGAATTTGCTAACCCTTAAAACTGGTTCTGTTCCACCTCAATGTGCAAAATGTATGCAGTGTTTATTAACCTGTTTTACTCTCTTATTGTTCCTTATTGGGCAATTAGCCATAGTTACATATAGTTACATATAAACATCCAGTGGGGTAAATCTCTTTTGTACCTGCCTTACAGTTCTATGCTATAACATTCTTGATTTACTCATACTTCACCCTACTAGAATTGTAAACCTGAAGCTTATTTTTTCCTGATTTTCAAAAACGTTCAGTACTTGTGACATTCCTTACTTTGTCTACTCCTTTTTATTGGCTCATGTGAACTGCCTTGGTACTCATGTTAATTATGCAATGTACTACGAAAAATAAAGAATGTAAAAAAAGAATTAAGCTAAAGTCTGTGTAATAAGGAAACGATCATAAGTCAGTATTTTGCTGTAAAAGATGAGGTTTCACACAGGAGCATAACTCACTGTTAATCCTGGTTTATCAATGTCTCATTTTACTACCCCGTGTGATGCCATGCATCACTGTGGCATCCTGTGCAGTGCTGGATTCTGCACCCCAGTGTCATTTGATACACCTTTTTCCATGCAACATTTTATGGATACAAATTCCTTTTCACGCCTCACCGTTTGTTCCCCATTTTATCACTTTCTGTATGTGTGCTATTTTGCTTTGGTATAGACAAAGCAAGGTCCATAAATATATGGTTCGATGAGTTTGGTGTGGAAGAACTTAACTGGCCCGCACAGAGCCCCGACTTTAACTCCATCGAAAACCTTTGAGATGAACTGGAATGGAGTTTGCAAGCCAGGCCTTCTCATCCAACATCAGTGCCTGACCTCACAAATGCTATACTGAAGAAAAAAAGAAAAAAGGGAGCAGGCTGCGTCACATACGAATGTTGACTAAACAAGTGTATGAACAAAATATATCAAGGTAAACATGCTTAAATAGGAATATGGTATAATAAGTCCAGAGGAGAAGTCCTTATGGTACTAATATGAAACCTGCTGGAAATAGTATTCTTGGAGGTCAATCTGTTGTCCTCCTTGCTGAATAAATAATCAGGTCTTTTAGTAGAGATAAGGCATATTAAGAAGAGAGCCTTCAATTAGCTAATAATGGTTTGAGCAGAACAATCCCCTCTCTCAGATAAAACTGAAGACATCTCTTTGGACATTTACGATACAGTTGGCATATGAAATAAATGGAATAAAATATAGTGCTCTCTGCTTTGAATAGTGGTACTAGAATTTTTTTTTAATGAAATCTACTTGAGTTTTTGGGAGCATCACATGCTCTGTGCAATCAGCATGGGTGGTATGATCCCCACCAAGGATATATGTAGGAAGATTTGGAGAAAAGTGCCAGTGTTGGAGAGGTTCTTCTGGAGGTATTATATGAATGCAGGATAAATAGAAATATTTTCTTTTTGAATAGTAAAAACAATATTTATTTTGATATACAACACAAACTAAATAAATCAGATTAAAAAAGTCCTTGTATTCAATCACAACACATTTCACCCATAGGCTTTTTCAAGTGATAGTGTAGTCAAGTTCAAATTGTCTTCTCATTCTTTTCAATCATTGGCGAATGGTGCAGCGAGATCTGAAATAGAAGCAATTCTCATCTTTCAAACCCTCCCATGGCGCAGGGGGGAGGGGGCATAATTGGTAGTTAAAAAACGATATTAGGAATACATGTTTGTGTTCCTAACGCTATAAACCGCTTAAAACCGGAGGGCGTACTATTACGCCCTATTCTAAGCGACTCTAAACGTAATAGTTCGCCTTACGGTTTTTCTTACTTACCTGGTCGCCGGCGATCCCATGCTGGCGATCGCGGTTGGGGAGACTCACCTGGGATCCCATGGAGTCCCCTGTGGCGGATCCTGCCTCCTCTGGCCCCCCCCGGCCATGTGAGAGTGAGGTCCTTGCGAGGACCTCACAATCACATGGCCGGGTTAGCTGGCTGCTGCATTGCTAGCAGGGGGACTGCCTGTAATGACAGTTAGTCGCCCTGCTGGCTGGAAATAAAATTAAAGTTAAAGTCAGTGTAAAAAAAAATAATAATATACTTAGATCATATATATGTATACTATTAATATATATATATTTATAAATATATATTAATAGCAAATTACACGTAGACTGATACTGATTAAATATATATATATATATATATATATATATATATAATTAATGTTATTTTATATATTTATATATAATATAAAAAAAAAGTAAATATGTTAAAAATAAAATTTTGGGGCGTGTCTGGCGGCCGAGGAAGATGTACGCCTAATACAGGAGCTCCTCGTGGCGCCCGCAAAAAAACAGCAATAACCCGCCCATACCGCTCGCCCACACACTAACAATGGGTCGCACAAAGAAGCTCACGGACCCACCCACAGTCTCACCGCAGAGGGAGACAGAGGCCACAAGCCAGGACATGGACTCCTTCCCCTCCACGCCGGCCAGACTATCGCCAGCACCCTCAGTCATGTCAGAGTCAAAACTACCGCAAGAGGGTGAGTGGAGGGCCATATTGCCAAATTTGCTTACTAAGGCAGACTTTGAGGCCTTGTCAGACCGTCTAGGTCGAGTAGTGAGGGAGGAGGTGGCCCAACCACGCGCAGACTTGGCAAATGTGGAGGCCCGCATGTCGGTGGCAGAGTCCGAGACCAGGGCACTCCGCACGGACCTGGAGCATACAAACTCGACAGTAGTCAACCAAGAAGCAGACCTAACCAGCCTCACCACGTGGATGGACGACCTGGACAACCGCGACCGCAGACTAAACCTGCGCATCCGCGGGGTGAGGGAAGGTGACCCAGTGGAACACATACCCGACATCCTAAAGCGACTGTTCACCCAGGTGTTGGGGGGCCAGCAAATACCCAGACTAGGCCTAGTGAGGGCACACAGGGCACTGCGGCCAATGTTGGCACCAGAAGAACAACCAAGAGATATCATATGCTGCCTATAAAAATTACCAACTGAAAGAAGACATCCTGTGCACCGGCCGCCGCATGGGGACCATACGCTTCGAGAATCAAACCATATCGATTTATCAAGATCTATCCAGATACACCCTACAAGCCAGAAGGGCCCTACGTCCAGTAACATCTGCCCTGCAACAGGCAGGAATACCGTACCGCTGGGGCTACCCATTCTCACTCTCAGCAAGACACAGCCTGGATCAACTAGTGGTGAGGAGACCAAGTGACCTCCCAGGATTCATTCGAGCCATGGGCATCCCACCGCTTCAAGTACCAGACTGGCTGGTGAGATCTTTTCTCCAACCACCGCCTGGACCGCAACAACCATGCAGACCAGACCAGGGTCCTCCAAGACTCCAGCAACAGCGACGCAGAGACTGGAACCCGAGTCCGGCACAACGGGAGCAGGAGCACTAACTGAGCACTACACAGAGAGAAGAGGCCGACAGTCCGGGGACCAACACGCAGCAGGACGCAATGGGCAAACTGTGAGTACTATTTGGGGTGACATAAGAAAGTATACCAGCCAGACAGGCAAATGCTGGGGTGGGGGATGGTGGCAAGGGGGAACTGGAACGAAGCAAACACCAAAGGGACAGCCAACTGCAAGGGTTCCATGCTGAGGAAACTCACTGCACCTTGGCAGAGCCAAGGGGAGGGCATAACAGGACATTTGGGGTGGGATAAGGGATCAAGCTCCTACACCGGCATGGCATAACCCAGGTGGGGGCACAGACAGTGCAACTTGGCTGAGTAACGACACGGGACACATTACTGAAGGACACCAACAAGGACACACATGGGCCCAATCAACAAGACTAATAGGGGGGAGGGAGGGCCAGAAGGGAATTGTCAATGAACCGGGGACAGAATTTAAGCAATGAAACAGAGGGAGAGGGAACAAACGAGAAAGAGACGGGTATGCCAGACCAGTGGGAGGATAATGAGAGTTAGGGGAAGACAGAAGGGGACCCACGACAGTTATCCAAAGGCAAAATACACAGACACAGTATCTGATTGAGCCACTGCACACACCAACCACAGATACGCATTAAGCATAGACGCCAAGGGAATCAACGGCAAGGAGGTCCAAGAGAAAGCCCCCAAGAAGGACCAACCGGAACCCATCACGACATACACCCAAGGGGGCCCCACCCACCACAAATGTCGCACGGGCAACCCACTACACAAGACCCACATACACGTAGCCGCAAGGCAGCCCCCGACACAGCAGGCGGCATAGACACCATACAGAAGCCAGAGACCCAACAGGACATAGAAAAACTAGCCGCACTAGAGACATGGAGAGTAGGAGTATACAGGGATTAAACCCCAGGCACGCTAGATCCCCACCCACAACACGCCCATATAATTAGCGAGACACAGGCAGGAAGGCAGCGCCACCAGCTCAGATACCCCACTAGAATGACACCACTCACAGGTCCTGATAGTAGAGATTGCCCCGGCCCCACAAGACCCGGAGCTGCAACAAACACGCGCCTAGACAGGAACACACGGAGCAAGATCACTCCTGAGACAAGACACACACAAGTTGAGGGACACCACCGTGGTAGAACGCAGCATACACGATACACAAAAGAAGACCCTTACAAGCACAATATCGAAGAGACGGAGCGGATGCTCCAATAACACAGCCACTAAGGAGATATGTGACCACACTCTACATACCGAGCTCGGTATCATATTCCTCACCCTCACGGCACGGACGGATGCCACGCGGCGGACCGTGCTTACCAGGACATAGAGCCTGACACCCCAGCAGGCACATGACACGAAAGTCCCCACTCCAAAGGGGACATATCACTCACGGCACCGACACAGGCACACCACTGGGTGGGACCTATAGGTCGAACAACCGGGACACTTGTCCGTTACCCTCCACACCCTCAAAACACAACTAACAGCAAGTACCTATTAAGCCTCAGCCGGAGCCTAGACGATAAAAAGACAGCACCGAATCGCGCACACACACACACACACACACGCACCCTAGCCTCACCCGTCCTGCCTCCGACGCCCCTCCGGGCCACCGCGACGATGTCGGTACAAGAACCCAACGGCTTCGCAAGAGAAGACCTATGCGTAGTCTCTTATAATCTACGCGGCCTAAATGTTAGGGAGAAACGTACAAGATTGCTCCGTGACTTGAAACACTACAAAGCGTCAATAGCGTTCATCCAAGAAACACACTTCCAGGAGGGCAGGGTGCCAGCTATGAAAGACCGCAACTTTCCAACGGGATACTTCAGCCACAACCAGGATAGACGTTCACTGCGAGTCTGCATCCTCTTCTCAAGGCGAGTCCCATACAAGGAGCAAACCACCGTAAGATGCAAGCACGGCAGATATATTTTCACAAAAGGCAAAATACTGGACCAAACATACACATTCGCTAACATATACGCCCCAAACACGAAACAACAACACTTCCTCCGAAGTACACTAACCATGTTGATGAAATTCACGGAAGGCACCTTGATCATAGGGGGAGACCTCAACCTGGCGATACACCCAGACCAGGACTCCACCTCTGCACGCAGAAATACGCCGCTCAACAGGCACGCCAACACACTACGTCTCCGTCACCTCCACCAGCTGGCAGACTGCAGGCGAGCACTACACCCGTCCACCCGGGACTACACATTCTACTCCACGACTCATTCGACATATACAAGATTATTTCTTAGTACCTCATCGAAACCTAGCCCTGCTCAATACGGCGGAAATCCTACCAATGACATGGTCAGACCACTGCTTAATTCGCATACGGATGAAGTCGCCACTATACAAACCCAGACAAATGTCATGGCGTCTGAACGAATCGATTCTCTCAGATGCCACGGTCGTAGACCAGATCAGTCACCACATAAAGGATTACTTCACAGACAACGAGACAGACGATGTAACCCCACTGACAAGCTGGGAAGCGCACAAAACGGTCATCCGAGGCAGATTCATCGCGATATGCGCGACCCGCAAGAAGAGGGCGATGCAGACGGTACTAGAACTCAGTAAGGGAATCGGGGTATTAGAGGCTAGACACAAACGCACCATGGACACGACGGTATACGAGGAACTCACAACCAAACGTAACCAACTCACCACACACCTGAACCGCGCAATCCAACGCTCATACCAACACTACAAACATATGATCCATGAACACGGGGACAAATGGGGGAGACTATTAGCAAACTCCTGAAGCAACGCCGCAACCAACTATACATTCCGAAAATCAAAGACGCACACCAACAACTCAGGCACCTACCGGACCAGATCTTGACAGCGTTCCACGACTACTACCAGGATTTATATTGACTCCGCCAAACAAACCAGGAAACACAGAGCTCTCAAAAAGTGGAGAACATTCGCAGATACCTGGACACGGCAAATATACCGGGAATAGAGGAGGTGGACCAGGAAGCATTAGAGGCTCCTTTAACACCAGAGGAATTGGCAAACACCATCAAAAAAGCAAAAATGGGCAGGGCACCGGGCCCAGATCGCATGCCCCTGCAATACTATAAAACCTTCGTGACAGACCTAATACCGAAACTACTGAAAGCCTTGAACTCTATCCAAGACGGAGCCACACCAACGGCTCAATTCACCTCGGCGAACATCACCCTTCTCCCAAAGGAGGACAAAGACAAGATGCTGTGTCCAAGTTTCGACCGATATCCGTAATGAACACGGACCTCAAACTCCTGGCAAGCATACTAGCGGCATGTCTGGCACCTCTTCTATCAGCCACAATCCACCCAGAGCAAATGATTCAGAGGCAACAACCATATCGCTGGTGCGACCACCGCATAAAATATTTAGGGATCTGGCACACACCAGACTCGGGGGATTTATACACCCATAATTACCTCCCGATATTGAAAAAAGCAAAGTAGGAATTACATAGATGGGGTTCCTACTACATGTCTTGGCTAGGCAGAGTGAACGCGGTAAAAATGACGCTGCTACTGAAGCTACTCTTCATATTTCAAACGGTACCGATAAGAGCCCCACAAACGTTCTTCGCAACACTTAAGATGGAGGTTCGCACTTTTATCTGGAAGGGCAAATCTTCGCGCATAGCGCACACCCAACTGATTGTGCCCAAGCACAGAGGGGGCCTGGCACTCCCCGACTTTGAAAAATACTACCACGCGGCACACATCGCCAGAGTCGTCAGTTGGTCGGTAGCCAGCGGCACCAAACCATGGACACAACTAGAAGCAGACACAACCAGCTTTGACCTCAGAACCTTACCATGGATCTCCAAGGCAGCGTACAGGAGCAAACATATCACCAACCCATTCGTGGCGATGACCATGCAAGTTTGTCATGGACAAGGCACAAAACATTACCTGACAACGGACCCAGGCCCGCTCCTGCCCCTAAAAGGAAACCCAGACTTCCCGGCAGGGGACTATGGTCCCACACCAGGCCCAGCGGGACATACAACAATACCCCGCATAAAAGATGTCCTCCTCCGCCCGTTCGACATCCGACCACTGGCAGACATCTACTCAGGCAGGCCACACACATTTGCTCACTCCCTAGCAAGAGCCCAAATTACCCAATATGCTAGATCCATACCGCAACAACCGTCCATCACAAGAGAACCAATCCAATTCGAAAACTTATGCACACAGGACAAGGAACCACCACAAGCCATCTCACAAATATACACTATCTTAATAACGAGTAGATACCTACTAGCGCCACCGTGCATCAGTAAGTGGGAGAAAGACCTGGAGGAAAACATGACAGAAGCGGACTGGGACAAAAGCATGACTGAAGAATCACCCTCAATTCGTTTTTATTTCTCTCCCTGCTGTAGTATTCGTGAGATTTATTACCTGTATTACTGGTGCATTTGTTATTTTCTGTACGTTTAAATCCCTTGTTCGGTAAAATCACTATTTTACCGAACATGGACCACCCTGGGTAGCAATTAGAACATAGAATCGTGTGTAACCGCAAGTTAATTGAGTTCCCGGGCCATCTTAAACTCCCGAACGGCCAGTCAGCGGGACTTAGGCGTCGACCGCCTGGAACTATTTTCGGCATAGCCCTCCAGCATGATCCGATCCCCCATGGAAGTCCGGCCTGACCTATTTCCACGAACTGGACACGAACGGTGTTCGGGAAATTCAATCTACCGAATGAGGGGAACACTTTCCACGAACTCTCTGTATCTTAACCCTGGTAGTTTTCATGTAAATTGATGCGAATGGGGACCGGCTCTTAGTCCCAATTTCATGGAACTCTAAATCGGATATCAGCATGCAGGGAGCTGGTCAAACTTCCACACGACGCGACACGAAAACTACCGAACGTCTTATGTTTGTATGTAATATAAAAAGTACTTTTCTGAAATTGTTGAAAACTGTAATGTTTCT